ACTGGCTTCCGATTGCGCAACGGATCAAATTCAAAATCCTAACACTGACGTACAAAGCCGTCCACCATACTGCCCCGAACTACATCACTGACCTCTCCGCTCCTCACAAGACCTCCTTCTCTCTAGTTCCCTGGTCTCCTCCTCCCATGCCCGCCTCCAGGACTTCTCCAGGGTGTCACCCATCCTCTGGAACTCCCTGCCCCAACCCATCAGATTATCACCTACTCTCCTCTCCTTTAGGCGCACCCTGAACCCATCTCTTCAGGGAAGCCTACCCCACCCCCTTCTAACTTGCCGACCTCCTCCACTCTTCCTACCACTCCATCCCCCACAGCTATCTCCTCCTGTACCACCATCCCCTCCCTCCTAGATTGTAAGCTGCAAAGAGCAGGGCCCTCAATCCCCTCATGTTTTGCATTGTATTGGTATTGTTCTGTCACATGTTCTGTCTCCCTCTGTAATGTACAGCGCTGTATACTGTATAATAATAATAATAACCCCACCGGCAAGTGAGAAGAGGGGAGCATGAGATCGAGTGATTCCAGTGTCAGCCAATACAAGTGAAGGGATGGATACTGCTCAACCGACCCAAGGAGTCGAATGTGGAGGAATGGCCTGTGACCAAGCCCCGGTGGGTGGGGTGAAATGCATCAGAGGGCGTGGCCGGAATGGCAGCTGAGTCCATTCCTCAAATTTGGACTAGTGGGGTCGGCTGAGCAGCATCCATCCCTTCCCTTGTATAGGCCCACAGATTAGTTAAAACCCCCAAACATTATATATTTTTCAAAAGCAGAGACCCTGGAGAATAAAATGGTGGTAGTTCCAATTAATTTATGTCTCCCAGCAGTTTATCAAGCTCATATTTTCAGTAAAATATAAACAAAAGTTAATTTTAGGGCACACAAATGTAACATTTTATCAATTTTCTTGGTAGAATATGAATAATGAGGTTGCACCGAGTAAATAGATACCCAACATGTCAAGCTTTAATACTGGGTACACCTGTAAAATGACAATGAACTTCAGTATCCTAAATTTTTGTATGGGCAGTGCTTTAACCATTTTGCTGCCAGAGCTGTTTTTGCTTTTTTTTCCATGTGGAAAAAAATCATATTAGGCCTGAAGATGAGCTATAACCCTCAAATGTTATATATTTTCTTGAAAGCAGAGACCCTGGAGAATAAAATGGTGGTAGTTAGCATTAATTTATGCAGGGCCATCTTTAACATGGGGCAAAAAGGGCAGCTGCTCCGGGGCCCAGTCATTGTTGTGGGGCCCAAAGCAGCTGCTGCTTGAGCCCGTGCCAACGTTGCCATACATCTGAAATTTTTTCTTCTACCTATCACAGTGGCTGGCTCCTACTCACCGCTGCCAGCAATATTGGATGGCTAGTGGTAGGATCGCCCGTCTAGCAACCAACTATGTGGTTAGTCCGACTCGCCCCCCCCCCCCCCGGCATTCTCCTTAAGTCCTGACAGCTCTGCCACACCTCCCGGTTCCCTCCTGCAGCTGTCAGTATTAGTGATTGCTGCTAGGTCCGCCGGCATCTGGCAACCAACCTCCCTCCATGCTTCGCCTGTTGTTGAGGGCTCAGTCAACTCAAGGAAGGTATGAAACTTATGGAGGCATCGATTTAATGTTAGAGGAGGAGCAGCTCTGAGGTCCCTGATATAGAAAGGGGGGTGATTCTAGGGAGGGGACCCTGATAAAGAGGGAATTGTGTGGACCCTGATATAGAAGGGGGAAGGGTGGATTTGAGGGCCCTGATGTAAGTGTAGGGAAACTCTGGGGACTCTGATGTAAGTATGGGGGCTCTGAGGACCATGATGTAAGGATGGGGTGGTTCAGGGGACTGATATAAGAAGGGGGATATTTATAGGGAACGGATGCTGATTGATGTAAGGGGGCAGTTGATCTGAGGAACATGATGTAAGCGTGGGAAAACTCTGGGGAACCCTAATGTAAGGAGGGGTGACTCAGGGGACCCTAATATAAGGAGGGTATACCTCTGGGCACTCTGATGTAAGAAGGAGGGCTCTGGGGACCCTGATGTAAGGAGGGGGGCCCTGGTGTATGGAGGGGATAACTCTGGGGATCCTGATGTAAGTATGGGGGCTCTGGAGACCCTGATGTAAGGATGGGGTGGCTCAGAGATCCTGATATAAGAAGAGGGATATTTCTAGGGAACAGACCCAGATATAAGGGGGGGGGTTTGGATCTGAGGAACATGATGTAATCATGGGGAAACTCTAGGGACCCTGGTGTAAGGAAGGGTGGTTCTGGGGACCCTGATGTAAGGAAGGGTGGCTCTGGGGACCCTGATGTAAGAAGGGGGGTTCTGGGGACCCTGATAGAAGGTGGGTGCTCTGTGGACTCTAATAAATGAAAGGTGACCCTGATATAAGGAAGGGTGACTCTGGGGACTCTAATGTAAGTAGTGTATAACTCTGGGCACTCTGATGAAAAAAGGAGGGCTCTGGGGGCCCTGATGTAAGGTCAGGCAGTTCTAGGGACACTGATGTAAGGAGTGGGACTCTGGGGACCCTAATATAAGTAGGGTATAACTCTGGGCACTTTGATGTAAGAAGGAGGGATCTGGGTGCCCTGATGTAAGGATAGGTGGTTCTGGGGACAATGATAAAAGGAGGGGTGCTCTGGGGACTCTGGTGTAAGGAGGGGGAGCCCTGGTGTATGGAGGGGATAACTCTGGGGACCCTGATGTAAGTATAGGGGCTCTGGAGACCCTGATATAAGGATGGGGTGGCTCAGAGACCCTGATATAAGAAGGGGGATGTTTCTAGGGAACAGACCCTGATATAAGGGGGGGGTTGGATCTGAGGAACATGATGTAATCATGGGTGCTCTGTGGACCCTAATATACGAAAGTTACCCTGATATAAGATGGGGTGACTCTGGGCAGTAGAGTATAACTCTGGGCACCCTGATGTAAGAAAGAGGGCTCTGGAGACCATGATGTAAGGAAATGTGGTTCTGGGGACACTGGGGGGCTCCGGGGAGTACATAGACACCCAACATGTCAAGCTTTGAAAATGGGCACACCTGTAAAATGACAACAAACTTCTGTATCCTAAATTTTTGAATAGGCAATGCTTTAACCTTTTAGATGCCAGAGCTGTTTTTTTTTTGCTTTTTTTTGCACACATGTAACATTTAAAATCCCCAAACATTATATATTTTCTGAAAAGCGGATACCCGTGAGAATAAAATAGAGGCATTTCCAATCAATCTACAGTGGGGCAAAAAAGTATTTAGTCCGCCACCAATTGTACAAGTTCTCCCACTTACAAAGATGAGAGAGGCCTGTAATTGGCATCATAGGGAGACCTCAACTATGAGAGACAAAATGAGAAAACAAATCCAGACAATCACATTGGCTGATCTGGAAAGAATTTATTTGCAAATTATGGTGGAAAATAAGTATTTGGTCAATATGAAAAGTTTATCTCAATACTTTGTTATATATCCTTTGTTGGCAATGACAGAGGTCAGACGTTTCCTGGAAGTCTTCACAAGGTTGGCACACACTGTTGCTGGTATGTTGCCCATCCTCCATGCAGATCTCCTCTAGAGCAGTGATGTTTTGGGGCTGTCGCTGGGCAACACAGACTTTCAACTCCCTCCAAAGGTTTTCTATGGGGTTGAGATCTGGAGACTGGCTAGGCCACTCCAGGACCTTGAAATGCTTCTTACGAAGCCACTCCTTCGTTGCCCGGGCGGTATGTTTGGGATCATTGTCATGTTGGAAGACCAGCAACGTTTCATCATCAATGCCCTTGCTGATGGAAGGAGGTTTGCACTCAAAATCTCACGATACATGGCCCCATTCATTCTGTCCTGTACATGGATCAGTCGTCCTGGTCCCTTTGTGGAGAAACAGCCCCAAAGCATGATGTTGTCACCCCCATGCTTCACAGTAGGTATGGTGTTCTTTGGATGCAACTCAGCATTCTCTCTCCTCCAAACACGACGAGTTGTGTTTCTACCAAACAGTTCTATTTTGGTTTCATCTGACCATATGACATTCCCCCAATCTCTTCTGGATCATCCAAATGCTCTCTAGCAAACTTCAGATGGGCCCGGACATGTACTGGCTTAAGCAGGGGGACACGTCTGGCACTGCAGGATCTGAGTCCCTGGCGGCGTAGTGTGTTACTGATGGTAGCCTTTGTTACGTTGGTCCCAGCTCTCTGCAGGTCATTCACTAGGTCCCCCCGTGTGGTCCTGGGATTTTTGCTCACCGTTCTTGTGATCATTTTGACCCCACGGGGTGAGATCTTGCGTGGAGCCCCAGATCGAGGGAGATTATCAGTGGTCTTGTATGTCTTCCATTTTCTAATTATTGCTCCCACAGTTGATTTGTTCACACCAAGCTGCTTGTCTATTGCAGATTCAGTCTTCCCAGCCTGGTGCAGGTCTACAATTTTGTTTCTGGTGTCCTTCGAAAGCTCTTTGGTCTTCACCATAGTGGAGTTTGGAGTGTGACTGTTTGAGGTTGTGGACAGGTGTCTTTTATACTGATAACAAGTTCAAACAGGTGCCATTGATACAGGTAATGAGTGCAGGACAGAGGAGCCTCTTAAAGAAGAAGGTACAGGTCTGTGAGAGCCAGAAATCTTGCTTGTTTGTAGGTGACCAAATACTTATTTTCCACCATAATTTGCAAATAAATTCTTTCCAGATCAGCCAATGTGATTGTCTGGATTTGTTTTCTCATTTTGTCTCTCATAGTTGAGGTCTCCCTATGATGCCAATTACAGGCCTCTCTCATCTTTGTAAGTGGGAGAACTTGCACAATTGGTGGGGACTAAATACTTTTTGCCCCACTGTATATAGTTACATAGTTATGTCACACAATATTTGATCAATGGTTTATCAAGCATAAATTTTAAGTAAAAAATAAACAAACGTTGATTTTAGGGCACACAAATGGAGTATGTTACCCAATATTTTGGTAAAATATAAAATAAATACACTTGTAGTAAAAAGATTATATAGTAAAATTAGTAAATAGATACCCAAAAAATGTCAAACTTAACTGTGCACACATTTTAGGCCTGTAGATTAGTTAAAACCAGGGGCGGACTGACTATTTGGAAACTCGGGCACTGCCGAGGGCCCGGGGTCAGTAGAGGGCCCCATGAGATGCCCCTGGTACAGGGGCGGACTGACAACTCATGGGGCCCCCGGGCAATAGGGGATCATGGGGCCCCTGTGTCCTTGCCCACACTCAAAGCACACCCAAAAAAGCCTATAATAGGTACCAGGGGCATTTCATGGGGCCCCCAACTGACCCTGGGCCCTCGGGCAGTGCCCGGGTGTTCGAATGGTCAGTCCACCCCTGCCCTGGTACCTTTTTCATAGGCTTTTTTGAGTTTGGGCAAGGACACAGGGGCCCCATGATCCCCTATTGCCCGGGGGCCACATGAGTTGTCAGTACGCCCCTGCTCCATACACAATCCACAGGAAGGCAAAGCATGGTTCAAATTGCTCCTGCAGGGAAAAAATGTTCCTTCCTGATGCCCCCCCGAGAGGCAATCGGATATTCCCTGGATCAACTACCTCTTCTTATTACCTCTTAGGCTCCATGCACACTAGAGGTTTTTTTTTTTTTAGCTCAAAAAACGCTGGTAATAGCGTTTTTAGTAGCGTTTTAGTAAGGTTTAGAAGCGTTTAGAAGCGATAGCGTTTTATTAGCATTTTTACAGACCATGTATAAAAAAAAGAAGAAAAAAAGCAAGAAATAAAGCTGTTAGTCGCGTTTTAATAGAGTTTAGGACCGTTTAGAAGCAGTTAGCATTTTTTTTGCTGGAAAAACATTCCAAAAAAACTCTTTTCTGCTCCTAGAAGCTGAAGCTCTAAAACCGCTAATAGCCTGGAGTAGTGTGCGCGGACACATAAGATACTATTTAGCTTCTAGGAGCAGAAAAAAAAATGCTATTAGCAGCTTCTAGGAACTTAAAAAAAACGCTAGCGTGCATGGAGCCTTGGTGATAATATCCAGGCATATTTTATGTAACGCGATATTCGTGCAACAGTGTATGAAACACAAATGTTCAGTCAAAAATAAACACGGGTTAATTTTAGGGCACACAAATGTAATATATTATTCAATTTTTTGGTAAAATATAAGGCTCCATACACACAGGGCGTTGTGATAACGCTGGCAATGTTAGCTGTGTAAAGTCACATTAAAAACATGTTTTTCAGCTTTTTTTTTGGCACTTTTGCATTAGCGTTTAGTAGCGTTTTCCCTGGGGGGGCGGGGTCTGTGTGTTTCACTGTAAGCACACTGCTTTGGATGGCTGTGCTATGCAGAGCCATGCAAAGCAGTGTGTAGGAGATGACAGGGAGGAGAACTTTTTTGTTTACAAACAGATCTCCTCCCCATCGGAGATGCTCAGCGTTTTCCCACGTTTGCATTTTTAGCGGTTTTTTGTTACAAAAAAAGTTTTTTTGAGTTAAAAAAAATCCAAAAAAAAAACGCCGGTTTGCAGTGTCTTGCGTCTTGCCATATTTTTTCAGTGTTAGAGCATTTTTACAGTTAGAAAACTCCTCTAGAAATCCACTAGTCCTGGGTTTTTTTCCAGCCAAAAAATGTCCCAGCCAAAAAAAACATTGATTACAGTCTATGTGTGTATATAGGATAACATGCTGGGGGGTTTACTGGCTGTAGAAAAAAACATCAAAAGCCAAAAACAGCCGCTGTAAAAACGTCCCGTGTGCATGAGGACGAAAAGATGAGGTTGCACCGAGTAATTAGATACCCAACATATCAAGCTTTTGCGTTGGTAACTGTGAGCTAACTGAATAATAAACTGAGAACGGTGACATGTAACATGTGTAGCACAAGCAACGTTTTCATATGTAGACATGCCGACAGGTGTGTTTATGTCAAGGCTTGACAAATGTGTTTTGAATCTAGGAGCCAACTATAAATGTTAGGAGCCATTTTTTTAGCATGGCGTGGGTTGTCAAGCTCAGGACCTCACGCAATGTGATTTCCTACTCAAAACCACACCATGTTTTAGGCACCATTGAAAATAATGGCACCTGGACCTGCATTTTGCAATCATAGTTATTCTACTGCGATCCAAAAATGCCCAGGTGTGAATGAAGCCGCCGTGATGCACATATATGCAATTCTGAATTTTTTTTAGTGCCATTGTGAAAAGGGTCCTGTGCGAGCTTGTAATGGTGCATTCCAGACTCGCAAGTGATTGAGTAGAGTGGCATGTGGAGATAAGTGTTCACATAGGATTGTTAATGACAGGAGTTTCCCCATTGAAGTCCATGGGAGGCGTTTTCCCATTGAAGTCCATGGGAGGCGTTTTCCCATTGAAGTCCATGGGAGGCGTTTTCCCATTGAAGTTTATGGGAGGCGTTTTTCCCATTGAAGTCCATGGGAGGGCAATTTCCCATTGAAGTCCATGGGAGGCGTTTTCCCATTGAAATCTATGGGAGGCGTTTTCCCATTGAAGTCCATGGGAGGCGTTTTTCCCATTGAAGTCCATGGGAGGCGTTTTTCCATTGAAGTCCATGGGAGGCGTTTTCCCCATTGATTGAAGGCGTCCATGGAAGGCGTTTTCCCCATTGAAGTCCATGGGGAGGCGTTTTCCCATTGAGGTCCATGGGAGGCGTTTTCCCATTGAAGTCCATGGGAGGCGTTTTCCCATTGAAGTCCATGGGAGGCGTTTTCCCATTGAAGTCCATGGGAGGCGTTTTCCCATTGAAGTCCATGGGAGGCGTTTTCCCATTGAAGTCCATGGGAGGCGTTTTCCCATTGAAGTTTTCCATGGGAGGCGTTTTCCCATTGAAGTACATGGGAGGCGATTTCCCATTGAAGTCCATGGGAGGCGTTTTCCCATTGAAATCCATGGGAGGCGTTTTCCCATTGAAGTCCATGGGAGGCGGTTTCCCATTGAAGTCCATGGGAGGCGTTTTCCCATTGAAGTCCATGGGAGGCGTTTTCCCATTGAAGTCCATGGGAGGCGTTTTCCCATTGAAGTCCATGGGAGGCGTTTTTTCCCATTGAAGTCCATAGGAGGAGTTTCCCATTGAAGTACATGGGAGGCGTTTTCCCCATCGAAGTCCCTGGGAGGCGTTTTCCCCATCAAAGTCCCTGGGAGGCGTTTTCCCCATCGAAGTCCCTGGGAGGCGTTTTCCCCATCGAAAGTCCCTGGGAGGCGTTTTCCCCCATCAAAGTCCATGGGAGGCGTTTTCCCCATCAAAAGTCCCTGGGAGGCGTTTTCCCCATCGAAGTCCCTGGGAGGCGTTTTCCCCATCGAAGTCCCTGGGAGGCGTTTTCCCCCATCGAAGTCCCTGGGAGGCGTTTTCCCCATCGAAGTCCCTGGGAGGCGTTTTCCCCATCGAAGTCCCTGGGAGGCGTTTTCCCCATCGAAGTCCCTGGGAGGCGTTTTCCCCATCGAAGTCCCTGGGAGGCGTTTTCCCCATCGAAGTCCCTGGGAGGCGTTTTCCCCATCGAAGTTCATGGGAGGCGTTTTCCCCATCGAAGTCCATGGGAGGCGTTTTCCCCATCGAAGTCCATGGGAGGCGTTTTCCCATTGAAGTTTATGGGAGGTGTTTTTCCATTGAAGTCTATGGGAGGCGTTTTCCAATTGAAGTCTATAGGAGGCGTTTTCCCATTGAAGTCTATGAGAGGTGTTTTCCCATTGAAGTCTATGGGGCATGACTTCCCGCGACTGCCCATTGAAGTCTAGGGGGCGTGACTTTCCTCGACTGCCCATTGAAGTCTATGGGGCGTGACTTTCCTCGACTTCCCATTGAAGTCTATGGGGTACGACTTCCCATTGAAGTCTATAGGGTACGACTTCCCATTGAAGTCTATGGGGCACAATTTCCCATTGAAGTCAATGGGAAGCAGTGTGTGAACCGAGGCACCAGGATGCAATTTCTAGCCACCATGGCAATCTGGCGCCTGGGATTTGTTGAACCCTGGTTTATGTTTATATGTGCATGTATATGGGGGCGTTTGGCTGGGATATTCCCCGGCTGCAAGCTGAATATAAACAAAGGGGGGCAGGGACACTGGTGATGCTGTTATCTAAATATGACAATGGACAAGCTCACAGCAGAGTCGGACCTGATGGGAAACTACTCGCCACAGCGCAGCACCCAGATGGATGGTTGAAGCCTGGTGGGGAACTGATAGAGTAGTTCCGCAACAGGTCTGCCTTCCTTCTGATTGACAGCCGACGGCAGTGAACAGATTCCAAAGCTGCTATTGGACTGAACAGCGGTTATGGATCTGCCCACGGCCATGCACTGTCAATCAAAAGGAAGGAGGATCTGATGGGGAAACTAGTCTATCAGTTCCCCCATCAGGTCCTACCCACCCCAATACCAAGCTCCTTGGCCATGCATCTGTCTGTGTGATGGACACAGTGGCTGGGGAGGGGGGCGCGCTGAGGAAGGAGTGCTCTATCAATCAAAAGGAAGGTGGATCTGAGGGGGAACTGATCTTTCAGCTCCCCATCACGTCCTACCCACCCCAATACCAACCTCCCTGGCCATGAATCTGTGTTCCCTGTGGCTGAGGGGGGAGCACACTGGGGAGAGAGTGTTCGAAATGGACCTTACTGTCATCCTCTGACAATTTTGGGTGGTGGCCCAACAGAATTCTTGAGCCTGTGCGACTAGACATGTGCAAAACAAAAAAATTTGTTTCGTTATCTAACAAATTTCATGCAGTTGGATTCGGTAAATTCGTTTTCGGGATTTGTTTCGGTAATTCGTATTCAAAATCAATTCGAAAACAATTCGACCAAGATCAAAAAGTCGTTCGTATTCGAAATTGGTTCAACCGAATTAGAAAAAGAATTCGAAAAACAACAGGAAGCGGGGGACTTGCCCTCCTGAGGATTTACACCCCCCCCCCCCCCAAGTAAAAAGCCCCAACAGGGGCAATCATGATGAACAAAATTGGCCCCAATTTGTAACTAGTTTTTACAGTAACCTGGACATGGAAGAGCTTTTCACTGAATAAAAAAATACAATGTATGAGGGCTGTACAGACAGTAATGAAAAAGTGGCCATAACTTTTCTTTAACCCCTCGCCCTGCTGAGGATCCCCCCCCCCCCCCCTTCCTGACCAGGCCATTTTTTGCATTACGGAGCTGCGTGGCTTTAACTGA